ACTTTAGACACCTGTACACCAACGTGGCTTTGAAAACGAAGCCGTGTGGTTGAAAAGGAGAACGGCTCAAATTAGCTTATGGATTTCTTCAGGATTTTAGGGAACAGTGAGGACGCGAGGTGGATGTCTCAACGGGGTCGAGTTTCATGACCTTTCATGTCATAGATATATAATGCCTCAAAATACCTCCTTTGTAACCTGAATCTCTTTAGTACAGTCGAGAGACTTTGGATGGACATTAACAGCCCTAAATTTGACTTCTGTCAAGATTTGTTTGCATATGTAGGCATTTTTTAAAGAAATTATTTTATCTGGAGCTAAAAACACTGTATGGCAGTGACCACCAAAACTGCATGTTTTGGATGTCTCCTTTGTATGTCACAACCATTACAGGTCTTTCAGTCTCTGCTAATGAGCTGATGATCTGAATTGGGTGTGTTTGGTTATGGAGAGATGGAAAATGTGCAGAGCTGGTGGGCCTCCAGGAACGTGGTTGAGAAACACTGCTGTATGTGATACATAAATGCAGATAAGATGTCAGATATAATAAAGATGACACAAACCAATCTAATTAGATAAAAAAATTTAAATTCTGTCATTACTTACACATCATAATGCATTTAAATTTCCCTGAAATGTGCATTCAACTTCAGAACACAAGTTAAGATATATTAGATGAAATCCAGGAGCTCTCTTATCTTCAATAGACAGCAAGAGTCCCAAAACCATTCCTGTCAATCCCATTATCATCCCGTAAAGGTATTTTGCTGTATTTCTTCTGTATCTTTATCTTATGAAGGTTGGCAATATACATTAAAAAGCCAATCCTCCCTACACACAAACCATACAACCGAACCACCAGGGGACGCTCTTAAATGTGAATCTGCTCTGTGCTTTCATTTTATTTAAGTATGAAACACTTTGACATAAGTTTTAAAAATGGCAGGATTACCTTCATTTCCATCACAGGCGCAGTTGCCCCTACCAATGCAACCCTCAAAACAGTCATGTAGCGGTGCCTTACTATTAGATGCGCTCCATAGAGATAAATAGACGCTGTTTCCCAAACAAATTCTGTACACGCGATTTGAAGCGGAGCAAAAGTGGACACTCTGGGTTTCGGGTGCGTGTTTGAACAGACATATACAACATCTAAGCATGTCGATCTTGGTCAAAATTTGTCTTAAATGAGCATAAGAAGTTAGGGTAGCAATCTCGTAAAAGCATTTTTAAATTGACACCTTTATTATTTAACGTAACTAAATGAAAACTCTAAATGGGAGATTCGTTCGCTGCTCTTTAATCAGAATGTTTAACTTATACAGTGAAAAAAAGATTCATGAGATTTGATAACTTTTATTTATAATAGCTTTTCATTTTTATAGGCTAAAGTGTTTGCTAATTTTTTACAACTTTTTCTAATGTATCCTATTTATTCTATCCTCTGTAAATAATAATAATATTAATAATAATAATAATAATGAAACATATGGCTGTTTCCAATGTTTATTTACAATGAAACAGATTAAGATGAACATTCAGCATATGTTTTACAAAGCGGATGCCCTTCCAGGTGCTTCAGAGGAACATATTTACATGACATGTTTAAGCGTATTTATCTGTACATATTTGCTTATTAGTTATATATATATATATATATATATATATATATATATATATATATATATATATATATATATATATATATATAAAAAAAAAAAATATATACATATAAAAAAAAAATATATATATCTCTCTCGCTCGCGCGCGCGCGCGCGCGCGCACACACACACACACACACTCTCTCTCTCTCTCTCTCTCTCTCTCTATATATATAAAACAAACAAAAATATATATATATTTTTATTTATATATATA